GCCACAGTCCCTGGAGGACACAAGGAGACAAGCTCCAGAAATGGAAGCGGGGCTGTCTGCCTGTGTCTGCCACCATCTTGCTTTTCACTCACCTGCAGAGTAACTGGGCAACGGAACCCTCGTTTTATTAGGCATCTCCCGATTCAAAGTTGTAAAAGCGTGACGCAAACTAGGAGAGTATGTTTGTCCTCCAGGGCCTTGCCATGACAGCCTAGAGTGTGACAAGGGCGCTTCCTTCCTCACTTGAGTGACTTCCCCAGCGGGTGCAGAAGGGACAACTAGGTGGAGGAGAAGTGGGGGGGAAAAGGCAAAGTTTCCAGTTTGTATTGTGGTCTTGCTATTTTAAATTGGGAGATTCCTAATAAAAGAAAACAATGGTTGTATTGTGCGTGACACTGCAGGGTGTGCGCAAGGTGTGAATACCAGGCCTCAGCCTCCTCCCTGCCCAGCTGGCATTCCTGCCTCGCCCACCTCCGCCTGCTGCCCTCGTCAGAGGCCTCACCGGGTCCTCCAGAAACCGGCTGTGCCAGCTGAGTCATGCCCACGACATTTTGGCGTCCGTCCGCTGCCCGGCATCTCTACCTGCTCCCCCCTCCCTGGGTGTCCTCTCACATCTGTCTGTCACTTCCACATGGGGTCAGGAGAGCAGAGAGGTGGGGAGAAGGGCACTGGTCCATGTTCGGTTGGAAAACCCAAAACGTTTCCCTGTAGCAGGAGGCTTGGAGGGGAGGGAAGACCCACGCACGTCCCTCTGGAGGTGGCCGGGGCCTGCACAGGTCCACTTGTGCTGGAGGACCGCTTTCTCGTCTCAGGGATGGGGCTCATCGTCCAAGCTCATCGTGAGTCTTCTCCTTGGAGCCCTGAGTCCGCATCGTGCTGCCAACACCGAATCCCTGAGCTGGGCCACTGCCAGCCGAGGGACGTGTATTGGCTCGCATTGTGGAAGCTGGGGCGTCAATGCCAGGCTCTGACAAGGACCTTTCTGCTGTGTGGGGACAATGGAGGAAAGCAAGAGTGGTGGCAGACAGAAAGGAGAAGGCTGGATTTGTCCTCTAGCAGCAGCAGTCCCGTCCACGAGGGTGGAATCCTCACGGCCTACTTTACTGTTTTTTTTTTTTTTTTTTTTTTTTTTTTTAAGAGAGAGAGAGAGAGAAAAACAGTCAGACAGTTCTTCTGTCCACTGGTTCACTTCCCAAATGACCGCAGTGACCGGAGCTGGGCTGATCTGAAGCCAGGAGGCAGGAGCCTCCCCTGGCTCTCCCAAGTGGGTGCAGGGGCCCATGCACCTGGGCCATCTTCTGCTGCTTTCCCAGGCACATCAACAGGGAGCTGGATTGGAAGTGGAGCAGCCGGGACCTGAAACAGCACCCATATGGGACGCCAGCACTGCAGAGTGGACAGTGAGAGAGAGAGAGAGACAGATCTTCCTTTTTCTGTTGGTTCACCCCCCAATGGCCGCCGCGGCCAGCGCACCGCGCTGATCCGAAGGCAGGAGCCAGGTGTTTCTCCTGGTCTCCCATGGGGTGCAGGGCCCAAGCACTTGGGCCATCCTCCACTGCACTTCCGGGCCACAGCAGAGAGCTGGCCTGGAAGAGGAGCAACCAGGACAGAATCCAGCGCCCCGACCGGGACTAGAACCTGGTGTGCCGACGCCACAAGTGGAGGATTAGCCTAGTGAGCCACGGCGCCAGTCCTAGCCTTTTTTTTTTTTTTTTTAAGATTTATTTATTTATTTGAAAGAGTTATAGAGAGAGGTAGAACCAGAGAAAGAGAGAGGTCTTCCATCTGCTAGTTCACTCCCCAACTGGTCGCAATGACCAGAGCTGTGCTGATCTGAAACCAGGAGCCAGGAGCTTCTTCTGGGTCTCCCACATGGGTGCAGGGGCCCAAGGACTTGGGTCATCTGCTACTTTCCCAGGCCATAACAGAGAGCTGGATCAGAAGTGGAGCTGCTGAGATTCAAACCAGTGCCCATATGGGATAACGGCGCTGTAGGCCAGGGTTTTAACCCACTGCACCACAGTGCCAGCCCCAACTCCTAGCTTTTAATAATGTTAAAATGGGGGCTGGCACTGTGGCATAGTGGGTTAAGACACCAGCATTCCATATGGTTGCCTGTTCAAGAACTGGCTGCTTCACTTCTGATCCAGCTTCCTGCTGATGCACCTGGGGAAACCAGTGGAAGATGATCCAAGTGCTTGGGCCCCTGCACCCACGTGGGAGACCAGGATAAAGCTCCTGGTTTCTGACTGGCCTAGCCTAGGTCATTGTGGCCATTCGGGGAGTGAACCAGCAGATGGAAGACCTCTTCCCCTGCCTCTCCCTCACTCTCTCTGTCCCTCTGCCTTTCAGATAAATAAAACAAATCTTTTAAAAACTGGACAAACGAATCGATGGTGTAGGAGTTGAGTCGGTCAGTCTGGGAAGGGCGCCCGTGCTGGGAGGGGTTGCAATGTCTGGTTCTCTGAGCTGGGTGCAGGTTACATGGGCATGACCAATTTGTACAGATACACCGTATCCTCCTGTGCCCCTTTCCATGTCGATAAAAAAAAAAAAAAAAAAAAAAAAAAAAAAAAAAGGAACCCGCCTATTGTCTTCGTCTGGGCTGCTATGAAAAATGCTATGGATGGGGCGGTTTTAAGCAGCACACAAACTTGTTTCTCATGGTTCCGGAGGCTGGGATGCCAGGTTCCAGGGCCTGCACCTCTGCTGCCTGGTGAGGGCCTGCTGCTTCCTGCTTCCTGGTGCACAGATGGAGGGTTCCACCTTCACCACCTAACCCCACCCCCAAGGCCCCACCTCCTCACACCACCACCCTGGGCACCAGGATTTCAACACTGGCCTAGGGAGGCAGTGGGGAGGGGAGGGGGGAAAGAGGACATAGGCACTCAGACCACAGCAGCTTGAACTGCGACTGCAGCAGCTCATCAGCGCCATCTTCCACTGAGCTGGGAGCTCCTCTAACGCTGGCTCCTGGCGTGTGGCTCCTGTCCTTGGCACAAAACTGGGGGCTGGGCTTCCCACAGCCGTGCTCGGCACAACAGGGGGCATCCTGGCCATCCCTGTGCTTATTTCTAAATGCTCTCAAACCAGCCCAAGGCGACATGGAAACCCTCTGGCTAGCGGGTTTCTTGCCCGGCTTGCATCGTCCGCGGCTCCTCCTTCCTCCCCAGCACGTCTGAGGCCTTCCCCACCCTCAGAGGCTAAGAACAGCCTTTTGTTCACTGACAGCAAGAAACCGCAGTCCCAGCAGCTCTGAGCGCCTCCCACTACCCTCTGGGCACAGCCCTACTCAGACAGGGCACAGAGAGGAGAGGGGAGGAGGGGGCTGCAGCTGGCTGTGCCTGGAGGGGGCAGGCAGGGCACACCGGATACAGAGTCCACATGGGGCAAGGCACCCACAGGACCACACCGCCCGCCTGGCCACATGGCCTCACATCGTGAAGGAGCTGGACCAGAGGAGTCCACGCGGACATGCCAAACCCCAGTTACACCCACAGGCTGAGCAAAATGTGCTGATGCGGGTCTCTGGCCGTGAAATACCAGGCAATTTGTTTTCTTCTTTTCTGCATTTTGCTAATAGTCTCCACTAAGGTTACACTACTGATGTGTTTGTTGTGTGTTTCCAAGCACCGAAAGTCCGATTCTTTTTTTTTTTTTTAATTTTTTAAATTTTTATTTGACAGGCAGAGTGGACAGTGAGAGAGAGACAGAGAAAGGTCTTCCTTTTTCTGTTGGTTCACCCCCTAATGGCCGTGCGCGCTGATCCGATGGCAGGAGCCAAGTGCTTCTCCTGGTCTCCCATGCGGGTACAGGACCCAAGCACTTGAGCCATCCTCCACTGCACTCCTGGGCCACAGCAGAGAACTGGCCTGGAAGAGGGGCAACCGGGACAGAATCCGGCGCCCGGACCGGGACTAGAACCCTGTGTGCCGGCGCCGCAGGCGGAGGATTAGCCTAGTGAGCCGCGGCGCCGGCCAGAAAGTCCGATTCTAAAAACGAAATAGAAAAGTTTGGGGGAAAAAAAGAAAGAAGAAAATGAAATTAACATTTAAATACAAGCCCAGAGGGGTCCCCGGTGCAGGAGGGGTGTAGAAGCAGGGCAGGGCTGTACGAGCTGTGGTTTCCCGAGCCCGTCTGCGGAGTCATTGTATGCTCTTCTGGCGCCCTCTGCTGGCCGATTCAGATGACGCCTCTTAATTTGGTTTGCAAAGGGCTCGGAGGCAAATCTGGCCAAGGTGCGTGGAGTCCCAGCCAGGATAAAGATGGCATGGTATACACAGGCCAGTCCTGCCCCAGACTCATCTCCAGAATCCACTTTTGATTTTTTTTCCTTGCAGAAATGATAGTACCAGGGACGCCTGAACAAGTCCCTTCTGCACAGGCCAGATGCCCACCCAGTAGTGACGAGCCGCACACCCCATGGGGCCAGCACTGCACAAGCTCCTCTCCCCACCCGAAGAGGGGAAGGCTGTCCAAAGAACCCACCCACGCTGAGCCCCTGTCATCTTTGTCGGTGGCTCCTGTGCCTTGAGGCTATCTCGATCCTTCACACATCCCCACGTGGTCCCAAGCAGCCGGGAGAGCTGGGAAGTCCTCACATTTGCCTTCCCACCCAACACCGGTCCCAGTGGAACAAGGCCCCTCCCTCCCTGCAGGTCCTGGCAGTGGAGCCTGGGGGCCTCCAGGCAAACAGGTGCCCTCTCTCCGAGCTGACCTTTCCCCCAGAGGCCGCCTGGAAAAGTCCACTTTGCCGTGCGGAGCTGGACTTTGGGTACACAGACAGCGAGGTGGGCAAGCTGTCTCTGCTGCAGACAGGGACAGGAAGGCTCTTTCCAATCTCATCCGTCTCTAAGCTCCATCAGGGGATCACACAGTCGGTCGTTATCAGTAAAGAATGAGGTCTTCCTGCCCAGGACGAAGGCGTGGTCCCAGAGCCCCTGATTGGTCCCCCTGGGGGGAGGGGAGGGCTGCCATATTTGGAGAGCATCAAGGCCGCCTCCCCCAGCAGCTCCTATATAGCTGGGTGGCCCGGCAGCTGGAGGACCCTGCAGCTCCTGGCCCCAGAAGCACCCCCAGCAGAGAGCCCCAGGTAGGTGGGGGAGAGGTCTCATGGTTGGGGTTGCTGGCTTTTAACTAGGTCTCAACCCCAGACTGAAAAGCTTACTTCCTTCCCCCTCCCCGCATCTGGGGATGGGTGCCCATGGGGGACCTTGGAGAATTCCTTCTTCACTGGTCTTGCATTGCCACAGTTGGGTGCTACACTAAAATGCTGCTTGAGGGCTGGCTGGTTGGGATCCTATTTGTCTTTTAAGTCCTTGTCTATAAAATCCTTCTTTCTCAAAACCACATTAACTTTCCTATGTGGACCTACACACTGATCTCTTATGTTATTCTTATTTAAAATTTCTCCTGTGACGTGGGGCCCGGCCCCCTGTTTAGGAGGCCAGTGAGTGATTGGCTCACACTCTGGGTTCACTGTGAGTGGGGGCAGAGGGGGGTAGGGTGCTTGAGCCCACCCTGAGGGCAGAAGTCTCTTTGAAGTCTGGGTGTGCTTTTCAGCTGTGTTTAGACTTCTTTGAAAAACAAACAAAAGCACAGTATCTTGTGTGGCCCGCAGCATTGAACATTTTTTAGCCAGGGATCTGAAAGTCACTTTGGGGGGTGCTGCAGGGGCTGGTGGGTGCGTCTTAGGGGCTCACAGCAAACTCCCCACCTCCTCGCTGTAGACCTCTCCCGGGAGGCGGCCGGGGCTTGCACCGCTACAGGAACTCCTGCTGCGCCCTTGATCCATGCAGGGCCCCAGGTGCTGGAAGCCCTGACTGTGGCCTTGGGAGGTGATTTCCACAATAGCTACCATAGCTCCCGGGGCCAGACGCGGAGAGTCACCAGGATCCGGGTGAGGGAGGCCGAGACAATTCCACCACCGGCCCTTCCGATGTCCTGGGTCCCTCTAACCAGGGACCCTCTGGTGTCCCCCCAGCCCTCCTGTCCGCCCCTTCACCTCACTCCCACCACCCCCCAAGGGCCTTGCTCTTGGCTCTTCACTCAGCTCAGAGGTCGTCATGCCCAGGGAGTCACCCAGCACCAGATCCCAGCGCTGCCGCCTCCCGAGGCCTGGGTGGGCAGTGAGGCATGGCTGGTGGCTCCCGGAGCACAGCCTCAGAGCTGAGTTCAAATCTGCCACTTCCTACTGTGCAGCCTTGGGCAAACCCCTTAGCATCTCTGAATCTTGGTCCAACTTTCAGAAAATAGAGACGATAATGTATCTACCCCATGTGACAGCTGAGTTACAGGAAGGCTTATCACAGAGACTGACAGTGCTAAGTGTACAATCAGAGGCTAGTGGCAAGGCAGGCATTTGGGGCGGTGGGTTAGCTATCAGTGGGAAGCCTGCGTTCCCTATCGGAGTACCTGGTTTGAGTCCCAGCCATTCCACTTCCAATCCAGCTTCCTGCTAACAATGCCAGTGCCCCCTGGGAGGCAGCAGGTGATAGCTCAAGCACTTGGGTCCCTGCCATCCATGTGGGAAATCAGGATTGAGTTCCAGGCTCCTGGCTTCAGTCTGGCTGTTGTGGCCATTTGTGGGAGTATATCAGTGCATGGAAGATCCCTCTTTGTCTGTCTCTCTGCCGTTCAGCCAAAATGAAAATAAATAAATAGATCTTTAAAGCTAACAGGATGAGCAGCGGCACATGGCTCCTGGGGTTGAGAGAGGTGAGGATGACATGGGCATGCCTTGACCTCTTAGATAGGGAAAGTGAGGACCCCAAAGCCGCCTCTCTGTCTTTCCCTCTACGCCCCCAGGCTCGTAACAGTTAAGCCCGTTAGGATCAGCAGCCGGGGACTTTCTGAGAATGATGGTAGAATGTGGCGGAGACAGCGCCGGCTTAGAGCCATAGAGAATGAAGAGGGAAGATCAAAAGTGGCATCCAGGCCCACAAGCACTTGGTTCCAATGCTTGTGCCATGTTTTCCTCCCAGGGCCCCCTTGGTATGAAAAGACTTGACAGTACCAGAAAAAATCCTGCATGCACCGGGTCATAACTCATTTACTGCCGGTTCAGATCCTAAGCTTTAGAGCAGCCACTTTCAGCTTCAGGATCACAGCCCCAAGCAGCCCCAATTCCCGGCAAAAGCAGAGAAACTTGTGTTTGCATTGACCCCACGCGGCCGCCCACGGCAGGGATGCCATCCGTGTGCCCCCAATCCGGAGCACTGGGCGGGGGTTGCCTGGGTAGACCGGTTGGGAAATTAACCAGCCCGGCCCTTTCTCCTGCAGGTTCTGACACCATGAGGAAGCATCTGGGAGCATGGGGCTTGGCCATTGTCTGCGTCCTGCTCTTCAGCCATCTGCCCCCGGCCAAGGCGAGAGGCATAAAACACAGAATCAAGTGGAACCGCAAGGCGCTGCCCAGCACGGCTCAGATCACAGAAGCGCACGTGGCCGAGAACCGCCCCGGCACCTTCATCCGCCAGGGCCGGAAGCTCAACATCGACTTCGGGCCGGAGGGCAACAAGTACTACGAGGCCAACTACTGGCAGTTCCCCGACGGGGTCCACTACGACGGCTGCTCCGAAGGCAACGTGACCAAGGAGGCGTTCGTGGCCAAGTGCGTCAACGCCACGCAGGCGGCCAACCAGGGGGAGTTCTCCCGGGAGAAGCAGGACAACAAGCTGCACCAGCGGGTCCTGTGGCGGCTCATCAAGGAGCTCTGCTCCATCAAGCACTGCGACTTCTGGTTGGAAAGAGGAGCTGGAGTTCAGGTCGGCGGGGAGCAGCCCTTGGTGCTTGGCCTGCTGCTTTGCACCTGGCTGCTGGTGAAGTAAGCCGGCAATGCTGTGCGCTGAGGGTCCCTCCGTCCCCCCAAACCCACGGCGTTCTGAAGGTACCAGAGTGGTGACTCCTCAGTGCTTCAGTGCTCATCCCCAGGTGTGGCCCTTGGTGTTTGCTCGTACCTGGTAAATGCATGCGTGTGTGTGTGTGTGTGTGCGTGCGCGCGTGTGTGTTTTGGGAGGGTGGAGCTGTGTCCTGCTCATCACAGCATCGCACATCAATGCTCCAAGTGGAATGTCTGGCACATTAGGCAAAAAGCGTTTGGGGATTCCAGGAGAGAAAGCGTCAGAGCTGTGCCAAGCCCCCCACAATTCTTCCCAGCCACTCTCGGGGTGAGGTGTTTCTCCCATTTTATGGGGGAGAAAACAGAAGCCCAGAGAAATGAAGTAGCTTGCCCCAAGTCTCCAGCGAGCCAGTGGCAGAATCGGGACTTGGCTACGTCCTGTTAACTCCAGGTTTTCTGCTCTGTCCCGTCCCAGATCTGTCACATACATGTCCACTTCAAGGGCCAGATCCACGCGTAGCTCTAAGGAAACTGTGACATCTCCACTCGTAGAAATCAATGAAAAGACCTGAGCCGACGGCTGGGTAGCCCGCTACCTGGGAGTTGAATTCACCCCTCCTAATTCAGCTAAACGATAGTAAAGCTTGCAGGTAAAGCCAGAGGAAGGCGCAGACGCCACACGGTGAGGCAGTGTGGCCAATCCGATCCTCAGAGCTGAGCAGATTCAGAGCTGGGTGTGTCTGTGGCCTGAAGGGATTTTTCCCAGAAGGGTAAGTGCAGCTCCAGGGCCTGGGTTTCTGTGCACCCACACGAGCGTCTTTAGACCTGCTTTATCGGGCACACTCTACAGTCTCTACCGGTTCTTTCAACTATTTGCCAAAGAGGTTAAACAGATGCAGGGTCTTCAGGGAGATCCAATGAGAAATCCACCCATGCTATGACCCAGTGTTGATTTGCCACCTTATCCATTAAAAATGCAATGTAACAAATATGAACATAATTTTTTTAAAAAATCTAACGCCCTAAGAAGGCAGCCAGCCCTCTGTGAATCCCAGAAGCCGCTGAATCCTCGGAGCAGGTAGACGCTGATGAATGCTATGGATTCTCTTGAAAGAGTCCAGAAGGGGAAAATACGGTGTGACCGCCGGGCAGTTTGCCCCAAGCGTTTGAGAACCGGGGTGCTGAGCATGGGGGCTCTTGGGCGGAGTTCCCACTGCATGCGTGTTCTTCTCAAAAGAAAACAGTAACAGGAGAGAAAGGAGAGAGAGAAAGGAAAAGGAGGAAGAAAAAGGGAAGGAGGAAGAGAGAGAGAGAGAGAGAAACTTAGAGGCTGTTGTTGCCATGCCAAGCCCTGACTCTCCTAAGCTTTGTCACAAGGATACTCACAGCCACACAAACAAAAGGCTTCATTTCTGCTGGGAAAGGCTCAGGCCCCGTGTAAGCCACTTTCTGCCATTTGTTAACGGTCCCACAGACCAGATGGAAAGGGAACACGAGGAGAGTGTGCCGCTGTGGTGGGCACGTCCAGTCTGCCCGTGGAGTCTTTCACCGATGCTCCCTGAGCCCTCCCACGCACATTCACAGATTGCCAACGTGGGCTTCGTGGGTCTGGCTTTCCGCCTTAGCAAAGGGTCATCGAGCGTACTCTCTGTGCAAAACACTGGGGAGGGGGGTCTCGATTGCTCCTGATGCTGGCGTGTTCCAGCGAGAGTAACTTCGCCGACCACTGCTGTCTTGTCCCTCTGAGCCCGGACTTTGTACTGTAGAAGTTGATTGTAACTGCCACAGAAATCTGCAATCAAAAACTCACTGTAACCCCAGCATCTGATTACGCCAGCGCTTTCTTATGTTTTTCCCCAGAACCTCCCAGTCCTACCCATCTGCCTGTCCAGATGTACAAATCGGTCATAGTAATACAGGTGCGCTCTTACAGTCCAATGCTTACTTCGCCCCGTTCAACGCCTGCCCCCTCGTTCTCTTATGAGTTTTGTTCTTTTACTTCCCTGCCCCCATCTTCCCCGTCCCACTCCCTCCTTGTAGCCTGAGATGTAGGCTCCACCCGTTCACTCTGCTCAGATGTCTACGCATGATGTATTTGTTTGATTGTGTCTTTTTAAAGCACTGTAAGTATACGTATACTATTCCTTCCTCTGCAGTTTGCCTCTGTAACTTAACTCTGCATTATTAAACTCTTTGGGTAACAGCTCACTGCCCAGTTAGTTCATCCTTTTAGACGGCTGTGTAATACTCCATGGTACAGTCGTACCATGGGTGGCTTACTCATTTCCTTGTTAGAGGACCTTCAGGCTGTTTCCAGTTTTTTGCCACTGCAAACAATAAACATCCTTGTACATACGACCCTGCCATCGGGTGCTTTTATTTCGGTGACATCGATTCGCACACGCCGAACTGGGGAACAAATGAGCACATTCTGTTGTGCAGTTCCCATTCCCACCGGGAGGGGGTGCTGTGGCGTTCCCATGTGAGCAGCCACCTTTCCCACACGTAGTGCTGGAGCCCCCTTTCTGCCTCTGCAGGGGGCCCACCTGGAGCCTCCCAGGTCATCAGCCCCTGAAGACCACAAGCAGGCTAAAGATGCTCCTCGTCCCAGGCCTCTGGGTGGGGAGCCTGGCAAAGAGGCAGGTGTTCGGAGGGAGGCGCCTGTGCACAACTCCACATGCCCCAGGCAGCAGAGGGGACGCAGAGTGAAGCTGGGCCTTGCCTTTGGGTCCATTTTTAGTAAATTCACACCCTCAGTGGTGTGCATTCCAGCGAGAAGGCCCTCCGGATCTCAGGGCTGCAGCGGAGCACGTGGAAAAGCCCTCCGAGCCTGGGCAGAACTTCCGGTCTCCATGGAGCCCTTGCGTGCCCCTTTGCTTAGCATGCACCCGACAACACCGAGAAACTCCACTTCCGGTCCTGTCGAGCTGCGTCCCGGTAGTGGCCATGAGTTTGTCTTGAGCCGCCCACACTCGAACAAGTGACTGCCTTGGGGTAGTGGTCACATTGCACCCTACGCTTCTTCACTGGCATAGACGCTGGGGCAGGACCCCTAAGATGCCTGCGCGGTGCTGCACGCACATTCTGGCGTCTGCCAGTCTCCTCTGAAAGGCTGACAGCGGAGCCTGCGCACCCACAAGCAGGCAGCACCGCCACGGGCTACACACGCCGGGTGAGTAAGCAGGAGGCCTCCCCGGCGTGGCATCGGGAGGAGTTGTGGTCTGAATTCCCACCAGCAGCTCAGACGCCGCCTGGCCGAGGCCAGTGCTGTTGGCTGTCCCGGCCTCAAGGCCGTGAGCCAAGGACAGGTATAGGTGTCTTCTCTCTCTTGCCCTCACTGCTGGAAGAATGCCCATTTCACTTGGGCACCCAGCGCCCCTGGTGGAAGGGAAAGGAATCAACCCCCCTGGGAATACAGGGCCCTGTAAAATGGAGATAAATTCAACATTCCCTGAAAAACACGAGTAAGCCACAGTGCCCTGTGTATCTGTGAGTCTCACATTCACGTGTTCAGCCCACCGCTGGTCAGAAATGGCAGGGAGGGGCCAGCACTGTGGCACAGGACAATCACAATCCTCTGCCTGCGGCGTTGGCCTCCCTTATGTGTGCTGATTCAAGTCTCAGCTGCTCCACTTCTGATCCAGCTTCTTGCTAATGCTCTGGGAAAGCAGTGCAAGATGACCCAAGTGCTTGGACTCCTGCACGTATGTGGGAGACCCAGATGAAGCTCCTGATTCCTGGCTTCCACCTGGCCCAGCCATGGCCATTTCAGCTATTTGGTGAGTGAGCCAGTGGATGGAAGACCTTTCTCTCTCTTTCTTTCTCTCTCTCTCTCTCCCCCTCTCAAATAAATCTTTTTATAAAGATTTATTTATTTGAAAGTTGGAGTTACACAGAGAGAGAAAGAGAGGCAGAGAGAGAGAGTAGTCTTCCATCCACTGGTTCACTCCCAAAAAGGCCCCAATGGCTGGAGCTGAGCCAATCTGAAGCCAGGAGCCAAGAGCTTCCTCCGGGTCTCCCATGTAGGTGCAGGGGCCCAAGGACTTGGGCCATCTTCCATTGCTTTTCCAGGCCATAGCAGAGAGCTGGATCAGATGTGAGTCAGCCAGGACTCGAACTGGTGCCCATATGGGATGCTGGCACTGCAGGAGGTGGCTTTACCTGCTATGCCACAGCGCCAGCCCCACTGTGCCGTTCTATATGAGGGCCCTGAGCGTCCTTGGAACCTGGTGTCTGAAGAGGGCCTGGAACCGATGCCCTGTGGATCCTGAGATGACTCTGCTATGTCTTGGATGCAGCTCTAAGTCTAGTCCAGACCATCCAAAGCGTGCCCCAGGAAAACACACGAGCTGTTGCCTATGGCAAATGGGAGCCCCCCGCCCCGGGCCTATAGCTTTATGGGGTCTCGCCCGTGAGCAGCAGCAAGTCTCAAGAAGGGCTGAGGGCCTAACGCCCTGAGGCCTCCCTCCCACAATGAGACCAGAAGCCAGGCAGAAAACGGATGAGTCTTTTTCTCACGCCTAGCACGCTGGCTACCCTACCTCCAAAAGGACCTTCCTGACCCCTGAATCGCTATCCCCCTGGGCTCCAGGGCCACCGCCTCCTCCACGATGCCCCCCCTGAACTCTTGGCTGAGTTTCAGAACCTCCAGACACCCCCACCCACCCCGCCCGCCTTGGGATTCCCAGATCTTATTTTAAGGCAAACCCTTTGGTGGGAAACACTGCCTTCCTCAACAATGCAGATTGTTTTAAATCTAACAGGCTGGACCATGAATTGAGGAAGGAAATTGGCAGGAGGCCAGGGAGGAGCTAGAGGAAGCTGGAGACAGGCAGCTCAGGGCTGGAGAAACCCACACAGCTGGCCTGCCTGGATGGAGCGAGACGAGGTGGGGGAGAGTGGGAGCCGGGAACAGACTGTCCATGTCGTAGGGAGAAGTGACAAGCTCGGGCTCATCAGAGGCCAGGCAGCGTCCCGCTGGGGAGGGTGTTGGGCTCCCAGGCGGTCTGGGCTCAGGAAGCAAGGTTCAGCACCAGGGAGAGAGGTTTTCTAGGCCTGACTGTAGGAAAGATGTATCCATTGGGCGGTGCTGGAATCTCCAAATCTATCATTAAGATTTCTTTTATTTACTTGAAAGGCAGAGTGACAGAGAAAGAGATCTTCTGTCTGCTGGTTTACTCCCCCAAATGGCCGCAACATTCAGGGATGGGCCAGACCAAAGCCAGGAGTCAGGAGCTCCATCCAGGACTTCCACATGGATGCAGGGGCCCACGCACTTGGGCCATCTTTCACTGCTTTCCTGGGTGCATTAGCAGATAGCTGGATCGAAAGTGGAGCAGCCGGGACTCAAACAAGCACTCTGTTACAGCACGCCAGCACCGTGAGCAGCAGCTTAACCACCGCACCACAACATCGGCCCCTCATTTTGGTATTCAACTGGCTGTTGGGATTCAGGGATGCTTGGCAAGTGAAAACAAAAGAGGGGCTCATGGCATCTCTTAAATGTCAGTTATCCCTCCCCAATTCTAAACCAAACCACACCGCCGCCTCTGCTCTCCTGGAGGAAAGGAACAGAGGAGCAGGAGGTGAAAGGCTGGTGGGTTTCTTAGCTTGTGGTCCAGCTGAGCAGCCAAGGGCTAAGGGTCCCCATCCACCCACAGACAATGAATGGGCTTTTCTGGGTTTGTTGGCACAGAGCAGAATCAAAGAGACTCCTCCTGGAATTCTGGACCTGGTGTGCTCTGTGAATCTGCTCCCATCCCAGCTGGGAGGATGCTGACCTATGCGTGTGGATTTTTCCAGACGCCTAGCTTGTCTGATTCTCACTTGGGACAAGCCCTGAGCCTCCCTTATGTGTCTGTGGGACCTCCACATGGATCACTTGCCCCTGGATTTTACTTAGAATCACAGATCATTTTCCTCCAGACACTATCGCAACTCCTAACTCTTCCTTTGTCTTTTCCTGGGCATGTTGTGGGGTCTTCCAAGCCCTCATTCCACAGACCCTGAGCTCCTGCCATGCACTCTGAGCTGCGAGGGTGCACCATGGAGGCCACGTCCCCACTGTTAGCGCCAGCATCCCGGTGGCGCCTGCACGCACAAGGGTGACCAGATGTGTGCTCCTGCTCCAGCTTCAGGGTGTGAAGTGGCTGATTTGTACCATTTTCCAGTCGCTATGGTGTAAATGGTGACCCAGCACATGTCAAATTGATCGACGGCCACATTGCGGGACATGGAATCGGAAGAGACAAGTACAATCATTTCTCAGGAGCCCATGTGACCAGATCCAGCACAAATAATGTGACTATTTATTTTGTAATAGTTTTTCTACCCACCCCCCCTAAGTCAGAACTGAAGTCATTTTAGCTGTGGGGCTGTCGATGGATTAAACATCACCTCCCAGGTCCTTTCTGTCCATCTTCAGATGCCCAGGTGCAGAGCCAGCACCTTGTGGGCCCTGGAGGGGCTGAGGTCAGGGCAGATGAGCAATGGTGCATGGTGCCACTGCCTGAAAGACAGAGACAGGGACAACGCTCAGCTGTTGGTTGATGCCCCCAGTGCCTGCAGTGGGGAGGGTTGGGCCAGTGCCAAAGCTGGGAGCCAGGAGCTCATTCCACGTCTCCCTTGTGGGTGGAAGGAGGAATCCTGTCACTTGCGCCATCACCTCTGCCTCTCAGGGTCTGCATTAGCAGGAAGCTGGAGTCAGGAGACAGAGCCAGGAATCCATCCCAGGCTCTCCAGGGTGGGATTACGGGTGAGATCTGCAAGGGGCCCTGGTGCTGCCTGTCCTGTGTCCCCCCAAGAAGCACTTCTCAAACTTCAACAAGTGCACCAATTTCCTGGGATCTTGGTCAAATGCAGCTCTGGCTTCAGTGGGCTCCCAGTGGTGATGCAATCTCTTCTGGCCCAAGGACCACACTTGTTCACCAAGGATGTGGTGGAGCACAGATAGGGGTTAGGAGGCAGAGGCTTCTTTTGATTTTTAAAAAATTTTTTAAAGATTTTATTTATTTGAAAGGCAGAGTTATGGGGTAGGGGGACAGAGAGAGATCTTCCATCAACAGGCTCACTCTCCAAAGGGCCTTAACAACCAGAGCTGGGCCAGGAGCTTCTTCCAGGTCTCCTGCGTGGGACTTGGGCCATCTTCCACTGCTTTCCCAGGCCGTAGCAAAGAGCTGGATTGGAAGTGGAGCAGCCAGGACTCAAACCCGCACCCATATTGGATGCCAGCACTGCAGGCAGCAGCTTTACCCACTACACCATAGTGCCAGCCCGCAGGCTTGGGTTTCTAAAGACGGCCGGCTGCTGGGGGAGACGGGGCTGCAGGCAGCCACAAGAGCAGGGAGCAGTCATGAGAG